CAAGTATTACACCTACAAGAATGGAAAATTGAAAACATTTCACAACTTCACGTACGGATGCCAAATTATGAAAATGTTCACAAGGACCTGCAAAAATGTCACAATAAAAGTAGTTGAGTGACACGCTTTTTCAGAGAACAAATGAGGTATTGTCTGATTCTGAGCTTTTCAAACGTGTGTGATTAGAACATAACATAAGCAAAAAAAAAAAAAAAAAAAAAAAATTGTGGATAACTTTGTAGCATGAAAAAAAAGCCCCCCAAAAATCATTTCTGTCATGATCCTGTTCTTGTGTGTCACCAGCAAGTGGCAGTGGAGGGCTTTTCCTCCAGCGGGCACGCCTGCTGCCAATTTGATCATCATGTTCAGCCATGTTTTTAAGGACTTCCCATGGGCCACAACTGCGTTGAATTATTGATCTTGCTGCTCTCGCTGAAGTGTTATCTCCATCTCGTCATTTGTCGTTTTAGCCTCTCGCTTTGTAAGTATTACTTACATGAGGCGTCATGAAGCGTGTTGACACAATGACACATTGTGTTGATACTGTGTTGATACTGTGTCACTGACCACTGACACCTGCTGGACTTTCAAAATCCCTGCAGGCAACCCACTTGACAGACTGAACTGACTGATTTGATGATGAAGTGTATACAATATCATTCACATCTATGCATTCATATTGTATTATTCAATATGTTTGAATAATTTGAAAATGATGTAAATGAGGATGCTTGTGGGTTTTGTCTTCACAAATTTTTATTCAGAAAAATAAGTTGCTCCAGTGTTTTGAATTTCAGTCTGTTGCGTTTCTTGCATGTTATTTCCCCTGCTCGCATGGCACTGGTGATGCTGGTGTACAGAGAAACTGCTCTGCAAGGTGGGAGAGGTTTGGAAAAGTAGTGTGTTGGTCCTTCGATTATAATAGCGGTTCTTGACTGCGTGCAATTTTCCCCTCTGCCAGGTATCGACCTCAGGTAGAGCATCTGCTGTTGCACTTCTTCCCAGTCTCCCTACCCCATCATTCAAATGTTGTCAGATGTAGTTGCAGAGGTGCTTTTGTTGGTATATGATATTTCTGTATGGCAAATTCGACATTTCACCTGCAATAAAATATGTGAATAGTAAACTAAGAGTTACCTTGAAATTCATTTGAACTATAATGGAATAAGACATGTCAAAAATCCGAGAGGCACTTGATGACACAAGGAGATTTGAATAAATACCTTATTCTCCAAAAGGAGATCAAAATGGCCCTACACGGCAGACAATTTGCGTTTCTCTGGGAGCTGCTCCATAATATGCACGTACTGTAGCAACGCCACTCGAGTGAAGCGTGCCTCAGCAGTCGATAGTCCGCTACTCTCCGCTGTGCGGGATTGAGCATGAGCACGTACTCACGGCGCAGACGCAACCCACGTCACATATCAAAGTAGCTTTGAACTACGACAACAGCTAAGCTAGCCTAGCCGACACGACGCCGAGTCAGACGGTCACGTTTTTCTGATAATCTGTCTGTTTTCCTTTTTGCCCAAATATATATTTTCATTCGAGCGAGGGTGAGGTCTGGCTTGTTTCGGCAGGCAGCATCGCGTGGCTCGACGCACTTCCTTATAAACACAGTTTGGCGGGCTTTTGCGGCGTCAACGCCCCCTGGACTGAGTCGATGCAGTTCATGTATTGGTCCCGTGATCGTCTTGAAGCAGTACACGCGCCGACGCAGGGATTGCTCTGTGAGCTCGACGTGTGCGTCAACGCATTGGTGTTGCTGGACCCAACACTCGTAAGTAAGTATGTTTTTTTTTTTTTTTTGTCTGCTCATGTTTTTGTTTTCGTGAAATTGGAATTTAGGTATTTCGTTTATAGCTCGCCGTTTCTTTTTCCTTGGCTTTGCAAGCGCTTTTTGTTAATGTATTGTTTTTCTGGTTCTTTTGACCAGAGATTTCTGTTCATCCATTGTCAGTGCGCTTTTGAATATAATTTTTATTTATTTATTTATTTTTACAGATTTTTCTTTGTGTCTACGTTTGTGGGATCCCATCGACCTCCAGTTCGTTCCCAAACTGTGCCACTTTCATCTGATTTTCTGACACTTTTCACCATTTTATCTGTTTTCTGTTCATAAATGTTGTGTAAACTGGACCTTGGTTGATTGTGACTTACCTTGAGGCCTGTTTGCGAAATGCCTGCAACTCTGCTACAACGTGGATGAAATAGAAACTGAGGAAAACCCGTCTTTGCAGCAATAGGAAGAGAAAACAAATACTGTCCCAGATGATCCCAGCTTCCTCTATCGGGAGGCTGCAGTTCTTATCACTAACTACGTTTGCTGTCGAGACAAGGAACAACAGGCGCACACATACACAATTAAAATATGTATGGCGTTCACAGATCCAGAAGGCTCAAATACCATTTTGAATATCTACACAATTCTCCCATTGCAACAAACTCATATCACTTCAAATGTGGTAAAATGTGTACTTTTAAAAGATGTCTGAACTTTTTTTAATTTGCCACCAAAGTCAAGCAGGAAAGCAAAAAAGAAAAACCAGAGTTCAAGCTCTGCCTGATGTCAGAAAAAAATGGAATTTTCTTACGACCTGCAGATGTCCTATTGTGAGTACATTTACATAAAATTTAAATCTATGATATCAAATTTGAGTTGTTTTTACATAGTTACGTTGATTTTTGACTTACAAAGTAAATTCAGTCCAAGTAAAATGCAACCGTCTATTATGAAAAGGTTCAGAGAAGTTACTACCTACATGCAGTATGACAACTGTAAGCATTCTGCTGTTCCTGAGCATCAATGTTGCGTTGTAGAAATAAAAACACATTAACATTTATGTTAATTATTAAAATTAAGTAGGGTAAAAAAAACATCATCATTGTTGAAAGGTAATTGATTCAGTTATGTATTTTATTGGGGTAACAATAATCACTAAACTTAATAGCATAAAAATAAAGTCATCTTTTGAATAAAAAATGTCTCGTATCGCCCATCTCTCCTCAAGTCTGCTTCCTCTGAAGTAGAGGCAAGACACATGCTGTGTGCCGGCTGTCTGTGATCTACCGTTTACAGTGAGACTGTAAAAAGGCCACCAAGTCATTTATTGTTTCAGGAAATATGTCAATCATTATAATTTGTGTGCCTCAACCATTTATTACTGTTGTATGCATTCATATAACGCTTACCGTATTTTCACGACTATAAGGCGCCATTAAAAGTCTTAAATTTTCTCCAAAATGTACAGGACGCCTTATAATGCGGAGTGTCTAGTGTATGCGCTGAGTTCCAAAGCCTGACTGAGAGCACTTCTGGCCGACACGCTGTTTATACAGAGAAAAGGCGGACGTGAGTGACGGCAGGCATGCGGAAGTCCGCCAATGAGTGAAGGGTGGGCGTGTAAGAGGACGCTAAAGGCACGTCCCTAGCAGGTACCAGTCGCCAATGAGTGAAGGGTGGGCGTGTAAGAGGACGCTAAAGGCACGCCCACCCTAGCAGGTACCAGTCGCGTGAGTACATTGTAAAATGGCTAAATAAAGTACAACCACACTCAGTTTTGCGACCGAACTCAGTTTTGCTTCCGTTGCCTTTTTAAAAACGTGTTTTTAGCGTGTGTCCGTATGTCTTAGCTGCTACCGTATGCTTTAAGCTAACATACCTGGTATGTTTTAGCGTGCATGCATGCTACCGTATGCTTCAAGCTAACGTGTTTTTAGCGTGCGTGCATGCATGCCGTATGTTTAAGCTGGCGTATGTTTTACCATGCCTGGCTGCGCCCAATAATACAGTGTGTTTTGTGTATGTGTCAAATACAGAAATAGCACCCGTTACTGAGACTGCGCCCAACAATACGGTGCGCCGAAAGGTCGTGAAAATATGGTAAATGGTTTAAAACACGCGGCAGGTTTCATGCTCACACTGACGCCTAGGGACAATGAAGAGCATGGGTGCCCAAACTTTTTGGACCGAAGATCTACTTTTCGATCAACTAACCTCCCGGGATCTACCCTTACCGGCACGCACGCACGCACGCGCACACACACACGCACACGCACACGCGCGCGCATGCCATGATGAGAAACAGCCTGAAACTGAGGCATGCGATGCACTTTTGCAGCCTGTAAACTATCGTAGCTCACACGTACCGTTTTAAAGTGCTTCCCTGGGCCCTCCTAGATTCCGATTCTTTGCCCGTGCCCACCCCTTGGTGAATTGTACACAAAGCAAACTCTGAATGAGAATAATGACGATAAAAGATAGAGCGCAACAGCTCTGATTACAAGCTGCAATTGCAGACTGCCGAGCGCTAACAACTTCCGGTGACGTAATCACGCGCCACCGTAAATTCAAGATTTACCTACTTTGTTTTATTTTTTAAATATTTTTTTTTGTGAAAATGAGACTGATAAGATGATTAGGGTGCAGCGTACATTAACACAAAAAAATTAAGTATTACTAACATGTACAAAGACACACAAATGGTTGTTTGTTTTTTTTCTCCTCGACACTCCTCGGATCTACTTGGGACCTGTCTTAGATCTACCGGTAGATCAGGATCGACGTAATGGGCACCCCTGATGTAGAGTGTTCAATCACCCTGCCATGCATGTTTTTGGAATGTGGGAGAAAAACGGATTACCCAGAGAAAACCCACGCAGGCACGGATGGGGAGAACATGCAAACTTCACACATGAAGGCCGGAGCCGGAATCGAACCCTGAACCTCTGTGCATTGTGAGGCGGACGTGCTAACCTTCTAATTTCTAGATATTTTTTGACTGATTCAAACCGTTTTCACAAAGGCAGCTTCAGCTCACTTGGTAGACTATTGCCTGGTGATCAACAGGCTCAGGATTCAACCTTATTTATGTTGTTCAGTGTGATTTCAAAGAATTTAACCCAGCCACTAGGGAGCAGTGCCCTCCCCTGGGGGTACATACTGGATCGGTCGGGGCCCAGGATAAAAACGATTGCCAACAGTGCTGTTCACCTACAGGGTACTGCTGGAAATTGGACTACTGTTGGTCAAAGAAGAAGACAAAGAAGAGGAGGACGATTGGTACAGAGAAAGAGGGAAAGGAGGAAGGTTAGAAGTATTGGTCTGAGGTTAGGAACTCTGAATGTAGGTACAATGACAGGGAAAGGCAGAGAACTAGCTGACATGATGGAGAGGAGGAGAGTAGATATTCTGTGTGTTCAGGAGACAAGGTGGAGGGGCAGCAAGGCTAGAAACATTGGAGGAGGCTACAAGCTGTTCTACCATGGTGTAGATGGGAAGAGGGATGGAGTAGGGGTGATTATAAAGGAAAAATATGCTAGACATGTAGTAGAAGTAAAACGAGAGTCAGACAGGTTGATGTGCGTGAAGGTAGAGATAGAAGGTGTGATGATGAATGTAGTCAGTGGGTATGCCCCACAGGTGGGCTGTGAGTTAGAAGAAAAGGAAAAGTTCTGGAATGAGATGGATAGAGTGACAGAGAGCATTCCCAGGGGGGAGAGAGTAGTGATTGGAGCAGACTTAAATGGTCATGTAGGGGAAGGTAACAGAGGCGATGAGGAAGTGATGGGCAAGTTTGGACTTAGAGATAGGAACTTGGAAGGACAGGCAGTGGTAGACTTTGCCAAAAGAATGGAAATGGCCGTGGTAAACACCTATTTCCAAAAGAGAGAAGAACACCTGATAACTTACAAGAGTGGAGGCAGGTCCACACAGATAGATTATATCCTATGTAGAAGAGGTAATCTGAGGGAGGTTAACGACTGTAAGGTGGTGCCAGGAGAGAGTGTAGCCAAACAGCATAGGATAGTAGTGTGCAAGCTGACAATGGAGGTGAGGAAAAGGAAGAGCGTGAAGACAGAGAAGAAAATAAAATGGTGGAAATTGAGGAAAGAAGACTGTTGTGAAGAATTTAGGAGTGAGGTATGGGCAGTTCTGGGCAGCGTTGAGGAATTCCCAGATGATTGGGAGACTACTGCAGCAGTGATTAGGGAGACAGGAAAGAAGGTGCTCGGTGTGGCCTCAGGACAGAGAAAGGTGGACAAAGAGACCTGGTGGTGGAATGTTGAGGTTCAGGAAAGTGTACAGAGGAAGAAATTAGCGAAGAAGCGATGGGATAGTGAGAGAACAGAAGAGAACAGGCTGGAGTACAAGAAGATGACAAGGGAAGTGAAGAGAGAAGTGGCCAAGGCCAAACAAAAGGCATATGAGGAGTTATACGAGAGGTTAGACACAAAGGAAGGTGAAAAAGAATTGTACAGGTTGGCGAGACAGAGAAATCAGGCTGGGAAGGATGTACAGCAGGTGAGGTTGATTAAAGACAGAGAGGGAAATGTCATTACGAGTGAGGAAAGTGTGTTGAGGAGATGGAAAGAATACTTTGAGGAGTTGTTAAATGAGGAAAACAATAGGGAACGTAGGAATGAAGAGCCAGAGAGGATTAAGAAGAAGGTCGATCAGGTTAGAAAGGATGAAGTCAGGAAAGCATTAAAAAGGATGAAGAGTGGGAAGGCGGTTGGTCCAGATGACATACCAGTGGAGGTATGGAAGTGCTTAGGGGAGGTGTCGGTTGATTTTCTGTCTAGGTTGTTTAATAGAATATTAGACACGAACAGGATTCCTGATGAGTGGAGGAAGAGTGTCCTGGTACCAATCTATAAGAAGGGCGATGTACAGAGTTGTAGCAACTACAGGGGGATAAAGTTGATGAGCCATACGATGAAGGTTTGGGAAAGAGTAGTTGAAGCCAGGTTGAGACAGGAAGTGGAGATTTGTGAACAGCAGTATGGTTTCATGCCGAGGAAGAGCACCACAGATGCAATATTTGCCCTGAGGATGCTGCTGGAAAAGTACAGGGGAGGTAGGAAGGGGCTGCACTGTGTATTTGTAGATTTAGAGAAGGCTTATGACAGGGTGCCAAGAGAGGAATTGTGGTTCTGTATGAGGAAGTCAGGGGTTGCAGAGAAGTACGTTAGGTTGGTTCAGGACATGTATGAGAATAGTACAACAGTGGTGAGGTGTGCAGTTGGACGGACAGAAGACTTCAAGGTGGAGGTAGGTCTGCATCAAGGATCGGCCCTGAGCCCCTTCTTGTTTGCTATGGTGATGGATAGATTGACAGATGAGGTCAGACAGGAGTCGCCCTGGACCATGATGTTTGCAGATGACATTGTGATCTTTAGTGAGAGTAGACAGCTGCTACAAGAAAACCTAGAAAGATGGAGGTCTGCACTGGAGAGAAGAGGAATGAAGGTCAGTCGTAGTAAGACAGAGTACATGTGCATAAATGAAAGGGAGACCAGTGGAACGGTGAGTTTACAGGGAGCAGAGGTGTCGAAGATACAGGAATTTAAGTACCTAGGATCAACAGTTGAGAGCAGCGGAGATTGTGGAAGGGAAGTGAAGACTAGCGTGCAGGCAGGATGGAACAGCTGGAGAAAAGTGTCAGGAGTGATTTGTGATAGAAGGGTGTCAGCTAAGGTAAAGGGAAAAGTTTACAGAACAGTTGTGAGACCGGCTATGATGTACGGTCTCGAGACACTAGCAATTGGCAAAAGACAGGAGGCAGAGTTAGAGGTGGCTGAGTTAAAGATGCTGAGATTCTCCTTAGGAGTGACAAGGATGGACAGGATCAGAAATGAGGTCATCAGAGGGACAACTCAGACAGGAAAGTTTGGAGAAAAAGTGAGAGAGGCCAGACTGAGATGGTTTGGACATGTACAGAGGAGGGACAGGGGATACATTGGTAGGAAAATGTTAGAGATGGAGCTACCAGGTAGGAGACAGAGAGGAAGGCCAAAGAGGAGATTCATGGATGCCGTGAGAGAAGACATGCAGGTAGTTGGAGTCAGAGTAGAGGATGCAGAGAACAGGGAAAGATGGAAATTAATGACTCGCTGTGGCAACCCCTGAAAAGGGACAAGCCGAAAGGAGAAGAAGAAGTGTGATTTCAAAGAATTTCATAACGTTCCACATACATGCATTCGATTTTTGTACATTCAGCATTTCGGCATTCACATGCAATTTCTCCTGAAATTACACGTTGGACAGTAAGACTTTTCACTCTTCCATAAATACATAGCTGTAAATGACAATGATACTTACGATCATAGTATCCCTTGACTGTGCAAACCAAACTGAAGAGCTGGATCATCCAACAAAAGCCCTTCTGCATTTCAATAACAAACACGCATGCCAGAATCTGAAATAGATAATTCACATAATCCTGAATCCAAATCAAATACCAATTTTTTTTTTCAAATACTTTTCTCTAATTGAATAATATAAAAATAAGAATGATGTATGGAAAAAGAAAAAAAATAATTTCCCTAAATTCACACTACTGTACTGTAAACTGTGTAGCTGTGTGGAGCAAGCAATTTGGTGCACGGCCTGTGATTGAAAACGTGTGTAAACATCGTGTCACTGAATGCTGTTATATGCTACCAAAAAGGCAGAATTTGGGTGTACCCTCACTCTGACAAAACACCACAAAAGTAGAAATGTAGGAGCACACGACTGATTTCATACTTACTGATAAAATGCTTTTTGATATGATGACTGCCACATTATAGATGATGAGACAGTCCCACATGGCAAGGCGTGTCCTGGACGGTTTGACCAATAGTTGGGTCCCAAAAAGCAAAAAAAAAAAACAAGCGAGAAGGTATCCCAATCCAAAGACAGAGACCCGTGTAGCCCCAGTGATGAAGACCACTGACAGTACAAACCAGAATAAGTGGCGAAAAATCAAAACCTTAGCCATGTCCAGGTAACTCCTGAAAGAGGTAAGGAACACAGATTGCTCATACACAAAGGTCTTTTTGTAAAATGAAGCTACAGCCTTCAGAAGTGGCCAAGACAGCAACTGAACACACGCACACGCACACGCACACGCACACACACACACACACACAAGATTGGTAGTCGGTATGTGCGCATTTTATTTCATGAAACCATGACTGCAGATCAACAATTCTTGGCTGTGTTGTTTCATTGCAATGGAATCAACTTTGACTGACACTCACTGAATGTGCTTAAAATAGTTTATTGTTTGAGTTTGTGTTCAGATCAATTGTACATTTATTCTTTAAGTATGTAATTTGAAAAAACTTTATGTTGTTGTTTTGCTGTTTTGCTCTTTTACCCATTTAAAAAAAATAGTTTTTGCTCTAAATCAAGGGAAAGGAACCAAAATAGAGCGGAAAAACACAAGGCCTCTCACTGTGAACTCTCAAATCCTCATCCTCATCCGATAACTTTGATAGCAAGTGGTGTGGATCCTGAATAGGGACTGAAAGAGAGCTAGGTATGAGCTCTTTGTGGAATTACTGACTGGTATTTTTAGGAGGAGAAATACAAAGTTGACATTTTCTTTTAATTAATTAATTCTTTTAATGTTTTTATGTTGAAAATTGGATAATCTCAAGAGTGTTTTTCTGAATTGTTACGCTCACATAAAATTTGTTCCTTGTTAATGAATTGATTTTAATGCAAAATGTTAATTTGACTGGTTACACTCAGTTCTTGGCCCAAATTAATAGTTGACAAATTTGGCAATGCCATCATCCCTCAGTTTTCATGCTAGTCTGTAGAATTCCACTGTAATCACTAAGAAATGCAATGAGGTCAGCAGTTCAATAAAATGCTCAATGATACTGTCATGTCTGTTTGTTTCTTTATTGAATTTAAAGTAGGATGTAGGTATGTGTAAGCATCATTAAGACATTTAAGTTACAAAGTAGACAATGGATAATGTATGCTAATTAATAATGTCATGTTTTTTGCAAGTTTAAATTATTGCTCGGTCAAAAAGACATAAAAATACCCTTTATCAAATGAGTCCACATATGTTATTTCGAAGAATTTCTTTTCAAGCAACAATTGTTAGTCTAAATGTGTTTTTTCTTGGATGATTTTCATTAACGTCTACATTTTTTGATCTACAATAGACATGAAATATATGTAATATGCACAGAAACAGATTATTTAAAAACATAGCAGACAATCCTGTTAAATTATCAATATTTTGGATTTAGCAGATTTGAAATGTGATCAGTCGGGATTTCAAATACCGTGAATTATGGTGCATCTGTATTTTTACAGAATTTTTCTGGTAACCCAGCTGCCAGAACATTTGGTAAAATACAGTTTTTTTTTGTTTTTTGTTTTTTTAACGGTGTTCCATCTATTTCAAACTAGAAAAGTGTGGAAGTGGCATCACCTCTCCCCTGTCTATTACAATGTCCTGACATCGCTCGTCCCCAGTGGCGGACCCTGAGGGCCAGCAAGGCCTTCTCTGCTGGCCTAAACATTCTCAGAAAAGTAAATTTACTTTTATGTATTTTATGTTATTTTATAATTTATGTTATTTTATTTTCATAAATATGTAAACAAAATTATTCTCTGTATTCTTTACGTCATATTATTTCCACTTAGTTGAGTGGCTTTC